CAGAATTGTGGCCTTATTGACTGGTCGATAGCCTTTACTGCATCCTGAGTATTCAGTCAAAGGGAATTGTTTGCAGAATTGAAGACAAGTCAATGAGCTTTATTACTACCTTCATAACCAGTCGATAGGCTTTACTGCAGTTTTACTGAGTAGTCGATAGATTTCTGCAGCCATAGTCGAATACCTTATCGCAGGCTCAATGATTAGCCAGTAGGCTATATTTCACTCATAATAACCACTCGATAGACTTTAAAATAGCAAACTAATTTTGTCATATTAATTATGCTATAGGTAATTCAGGGTTTTGGTCGTTAGAGATGGAGTCGCCGTGGTGGAGTAGTCAGCTGTGTGGAGCTTTCAATAACAACTGGACTACCAGCAGAATCACACTGGAACCTCGAGGCCTTCATGTTTATTCCCTGAAACAAATGAAGGAGAGATGTGACGTTTTCCTTAACGTGAGTACCGTCTTCAAGGTGTGTGAATGTCCTGGTCTCTCTGAGTTTGGTTAAGCCAGAGTTGCTGTTGTTTTGTCCCGTGTGTTCTTGCAGTTTTCTTTTTCCATACTTGAGTGATATGCTTTCAGTTTAATTTGAAGTCACTTTGAATTTTAGTCTCTGTTTGTCTGTTTGTCTGTTTGTCTGTCTGTCTGTCTGTCTGTCTCTGTCTGTCTCTCTCTCTCTCTCTCTCTCTCTCTCTCTCTCTCTCTTGTATCTACAAAATCATGTAAATAAATAAATATTTTGTTTAATATTTTTTATCGGGAAACTCTGACACACACACACACACACACACACACACAAAGTGATCTTCCTTGTCCTAGCAGGTATTTCAGATGCATTATTGTCTCTGATCTCTCTTGTCACTGGAGTTGTTTGTCAAACGTCATCCCCATTTACCTTGCATGCCCTAGTAGATGTCTGACACATATGTCCTCTTGAACTTCCCTTGATGGGAAGTCCCTTGATGTTGCAAGGTTCTTGTGCCAATAAAGAGGAGTTACCCCTTCCCTTGCGTCATTCCAGCTCTCCTCCCACTCTGACAATGCAAGAACCCTTCGCGCCCTAGCACTTCCTCGTGATTATAATGCTAATTTCCTTGACCTTTTCTGCTAGCAGTTGTCTGTGGTGTTAGCCTTGGCGCCGCTGGATGCCCCTGTGGTGTTCCTGGACCTGGAGGACAACTCTCGTCCCCTGGGGCGCGTCTACATTACCCTGCAGGTGTGTTACATCTTGGTTCCTGCATGTTGGCGAAAGAGTGAATCGGGGTCTTGGTGCAAGGGATTATATATGCTTTTCCCTTTTGCTTTCCTCACCTTTGACTTTCTTACACTCGCCGGATGCTATATGATCTACCCTTATGGGTTTTGCACTATCCCGTATAATATAATAATTATGTTGTTGGTTTGGTAATCAATTTGTTAACCCAGCCGGTGGAATCAAAACTTAAGATGCAGAAACATTACCGAGGACAAGAGTGAAGCAGAGATATGGCGCAGAATAAGCTTTCATAGGGACACCTTTTTGCTCTGTATAGAGGTTGATAAAGTTATGACTTAATAAAGTTCTAAACTTAGCAAGACTTTGTCACATTAAACGTATATTCAGCAACGTTTTTCTTTTTCAGAAAAACGTGCTTTGTTTCACTAGACAGAGAAAAGTGTTAAACAGCAGAAAACGTTTTCCAGATAATTAAGATTACTAAGTCACATGTAAAGCGTATGTCTGTTTTATGTAAATACCTGAAGGTTTAAGGACAGAGCAATATATTCACTAGTCTGACCAGCACCTTCAAGCATGGCGCCTTGATGCCCCTGAGGGGTTACTGATCCATGTAATTAGAGCTACTCGCCCCTCGGATTACGTTCCGCTTCCCAGGCGTTTTATAAGCCTTACGCGTTTAGAAGTTCCCCACGAATACAATAATGAACCACCGCCATCACAACTGTTCATCTGTATGACGTCATTGTGGGTGGGAGCCGCCATTAACATTAATGGCGCACAATAAATCACATCCATGGAAGAAAATCAAGATATCATGAATTTATTTTTTCCCCCGCTCGAATCCGCTCGTTAATTATCAAAATTGGGTACATATATAGTGGTTAACATGCTAATTAGCGAACGTGAACACTAAATGGCTCTTTGATGGCAGAAACCTGAATTTGTGTAAACAAATGGCCATATTACAGGTTTGAAGCTTAAATGCCCTTGTTTACATGCACACACGCATCAGAGGAATTAACTTTATCAGGAGAGATAATGGTTCACGCGACTGATGGTTCTATCACCGTCACATAGTTGCACGCAGTTTTCAAGTACTATGTTCATTGATTTATTGCTTAATATTCCAGCACCAATAAGGTGTCCGCTGTTGCCTTATTCATTTCTAAGGTGTAGCCGAGAGGCACTTTCTCTTGATATTCGGATTTAATATATACCAAGATTTTTGTTTACATATCGGATATATACCGCATTTCCCTGGACCGGTACCATGGGCTTTCACTTCTAGCTGCAGCTGTAACAAATAACCTGGTCCACGTCGGACCGAAACGTCGTCGTAAGCTCCCCTCTCCTATGTGCGGGTTATTTGTGTATTGTTCCAGTCACGGTACTGTGCCTTTTCGTTATTTAAAAGTGTGTATTGATGCCGGTTCCTCAGCCTGAGGGACTGACCACTTCAAATGCTATTTATCCAAGTTTGAAGGACTGATTGCATCATCTTTACTTCACTATTACACTTTTTGCCTCTGTATTTAACTGAAGAAGCCTACCGTGTAGACGCAACGCTTTACCAATGAAGATAACAAACCGCTGCACATGTGTCAGCTTGTTGGTATTTTATGCCACTTCCCCATTTTGTCTTCTCTGGCCATCATGATCACTATTCATAAAGTGAAGTTCATCGTATATGTTATAACTCCTAATTATGTTCTTTAGTCTGACTATTGAGCAATGCGGAGAATCACCAGCAGGGCGCTCACCTGCTCTCCCCATCTTTGTCAAGCCGTTACAGCTCGACGAAGCTCCTGAAGAGTGAAACGTTGCCAAGTTAAATTTAATGTCACATTAGTTGCCCTTGTGTCCTTGTGTCGGTAATTCTTCCTCTGTTAATTTCCCCATCTAGAATCAAAGTGTGCCTTGATGCCGGGGTGAAGGGCTTTTGATTTAAAAGATTCGAGCTCTCTTCCCTTTCTTTGGGTCAAACCTGATTACCTATTCCCCAGGTGCTGTATGATCCTTATGAGGTTACCGCTTCACCTCGTCTATAATAATTAATAATAATAATAACATAATAATTTGAGTAATAATTAATAATAATAAAAACAACAATACTACTACTACTACTACTACTACTACTACTAATAATAATAAATAATAATAATAATAATAATAATAATAATAATAATGATAATAATAAAATAATTTTGAAATTACTATTCAATATTTCATGATACGAATCAACAGAGCTTAGTTTTTCCTCGCCTGCTTTTCTCATTTCTGCAGACGTAATAATATTCTGTTTCTTTTTCATGTTACGCCGACCTTGTTGCCCTGTTTCTGTTGTTGCTGCTGTTGCTGTTGTTAAACCTGCTGTTTGCTGTTGTTTGCTTCTGTTGTTTTTTCCATCATTTTTCTCCCTTTCCCGTTGCAGCTGCTATTCATGCTTTCCAATTCCAGTTCTTTTTAGTGTTCAGATTTACTCCCTTCCAGTTCCAGTTCTTTTCTAATGAATGGTGGAAATTGAACATTAGGAAAGAGCTGGAAGTGGATAGGAATAAATCTGGACATTAAAAAAAAGAATTAGAACTGGAAAGGAGTAAATGTGAATATTAGAATAGAGATGGAATTGGAAAGGAGGAAATTGAACTCCATATTTATCTGTTCTCTATTTAACATTTTTTTTATTTATACCACCTCGCCTTCATTCCAGATTCAGCGGCTCGGGGATCCTTGCCTTAGGTTTACCTGCAGACGCAGTAGGCCTCATCTTGACTCTATCTGCAGATGCAGCCCGGTTCCCATTCTCACCTTAGCTATAACCTGCAGATCCCGTATTTCTGTGGTTTCATTTTTTAAATTTATCTGCAGATTCAGCTGCGTCGTGCCCAGCAGTTCTTCTCGCTGTGCTTGGGTGACCGAGGGCCCTCCTACGTGGGGTCGTACTTCCACTCAGTGCTACGACGAGGGGGCTCGGGAGAGGGGGTGGCTTGAGGAGACTACGAGAGCAAAGCAGGCAAAGGGGGCGCCGCCATCGTGAAGGCATCGACGGAACTGACGAAGTGGCCAAGCGTGCGAGAGAGGCATGGTGAGTGGTAGGAATGACAATGATCAAAATATAAGAAATATGTAATGGCACAGAGTAAACAAAATAAACTTACACTGACACACACTGATTTCCAACCAGTTAGCCGTATTGCACAGCTGTGACCCGCCTTAGGCCAGTGGCTATCAAATTCAACACATTAATTAAAAGTCAGTGCGTTGTTAGACAAGAATGACCTTGTGAAGCCATGCTGGGACTGACGATATTATGTTAATCATGGCAAATTACAAATTTCGTCTGCTGCTTCTGAGTCATGTAATCTTAGCTGATACGATGATAATGCCAAGCTCGAGGCCTTTCACCATTTTTGTAAATAACTATCACCTTGGTTATTATCCACATCTGCAAGATATTTTTTTGATAAGATTTATGAAACAAAAGTCTAGCTAATGGTTTAGTAAGCTCCATTCAGTTCGTCAGGACCCGAAGACTTTTTCTGATTGATGGACTGAACACATCGACTCCAGGTTGAGGGACTGATTACCTCATTCTCCTCCTCTCCTTACGCCTTCCTCTTTGTATTGGACTGATGAAGCCACTGTGTGGCGAAACGTTTCCTGAATAAAGATTCCCATATGCTGCATAAGTGTCTCAATCTTCAACTTGTCGGTTTTTCAAACCATTCATCACACATGGATGTTTTACTGACTGGTTCCTTCCCCAAATTTGTTTCG